CATGAGATTCACACTTAAAATGCATTTTGGTACTGTGTTCATTTAGCAAAATAATGGGTTTATCTGTAGGGTGTATGAGCTTCCAGCCACAGGTTCTTGATAGGACTTACAGTACCATCCAGTATGTGTTCAGTCAAGGGTCACTACATTGTGAAAATGTCTAAATCTGTTTTTCCTGATTGAGGATCAGTCTCTAGCATGCTCCCTGTGGAAGGGGAAGACGTGCTTCATTGGAGCACTGCTATCTTGTGTCTGGCTCACATATGTGTGATGTCTGTACTGGCTCCATTGCTGCCCTGCAGAGTTCATGTGTTAAATTATGACAAAGCCTAGCTTCATAGAAGCATCCATCCCCAAACTGAAGTAAAATTCCTGGTGTAGCAGTCATGCCAGGAAAGATTCAGGGAGACAGGCTCTTCTTTCAGCTGTTGCTTTCCTGGTTTGTTTGGACTGAAATGAACAATGCACACACAGAGCTGGAGAGTTAGTCCTGTGCTTTGGAAACAAAGCCTGGTTTTGATATGCAGGTGGGGGACATTTCTTCCTGCTAAGTGAAATTGTGTCTACTGCTCTGTCCCTCACTGAGTTGTAGAAATATTATGAGAAGTGGAGACAAGTGTTGATGGAGAAAATGTGTCATTTAAGGGTGAGTACACAGTAGAGTGTTTTAAAATTCTCTTTATTCTGGTGTGTATTCTATTTACAGTACCTCCCAATGTTCCAGTTCAACACAGCAATATAGCAACTTCCCAAGTAAGAAACTTTCAGAAGAATGGCATGCTATTGAACACAATCAACTCTGCTCTCATTAGACTACTCAGCATCCACCCACTTCAAACTGCTGGACACTAATGTGTCTAGGTCCAGCTGTTCCCATGGTTTCTGTTTCTCGGGGCTGCTCTTCATTGCTGCTCCCACTAAGGAGTCCATGTTTCATGTAAATTTTCTCTTAATCTTTTCTTAAATCTTAAACCCTTCAAGGTGTGTGTGTGTGTGTGTGTGTGTGTGTGTGTGTGTGTGTGTGTGTGTGTGTGTGTGCTTTAAGTACCTTCATTAGTCAGTCTACTTCCATCTGCAGATGTTCCAGTCTATTGTTTCTTTGATGCTGTATCATCCCAGGACTATCCAGATCAAATGATATTGGGGTTTTGTTGTCTTTTCTCCATATTGCATTATCATTTCTGCTTATCTGAAGTCACTGAATCTTCATAATTCTTAAAATAGATATGCTTGTTTCATTTTTTAAGGCAAGGGTTTACATCTTAGACTACTATTTTATGTATCCTTTTTTTTTTCTTTCTTTTCACCAAAGTCACTATCTTTATATCCTACCAGAACTTCCCTTGATTGGATGCTCACTGCTAGCAAAGGCTTATAAAATACAGCCAAGGGTGTCTGATTTGAATGTGTCTGTCTGCATAGGTAATGGTTGTCCTAGGACACAGTGACAGGGCACCACATCTGAATTGTAAGAGCATGTGTGGATGTTGTCTGTAAGAAGGAATCTGTAGGCAAACACACTGCTAATGATTTCTTTGTTCTGAGTTAAACAAAGGGTTGGGTGGAGGTAGAGAGGAGAGGAAAAAATGGGAGAGAGAGAGGAGAGAGGAGAGAGAAAGAGAGAGAGAGAGAGAGACAGAGAGACAGAGAGACAGAGAGAGAGATGGGAAGGATATCTCAGACCCAAGAGCATCTGGCCAGAAGGATAATGCTGAACTTCCAATTGATTTCCTTTGTTCTGGCTCTCTACAAAAATGCTAATGAGGAAATGCCAGGGAAGGCAGAGTTTTCTCTGGCTTCCGGGAGTCAACAAAACACACATTAAAGATTCATTCTCTGTGTTTTGACTATGTTTTAGGCAACAGGGCTGCTTGCAGCTTTTGCTTTTATACTCAAGTGGTAATGGTCTCCAAATTTAATAGCTTTATCATATGATTGGTTTTTTTTTTCAAAATAAAATTGCCCTTCCATGGTCTATTTTTCATTAGGTTAGGACTCAACATAGCACAGATTAGCTTAGAAACACGAGGTGTGCTCTAGACAGAAAGAACACATGGATTTGCTTCAGTCTTTATCCTGCACTGTCCGCCAGAGGGCGACGTTGCACAGACTAGCCGCCTCCATTTCTGCAGTTGATCCCCACTTTCAACTCAGTCCCTCCCTGCATCTTGTAGAGTTCTTAGAACAACTGATGAGTGAAGACAGTCAGAGGCCAGGAAGTTCCCAGGACTAGGACCACTTCTGCAGCGTTTTGTTTGTTTTTGTTTGTTTGTTTTAGAATTTTATCTAAACAAGGAAGGTTTCTGGACAACTTTGTGCTCTTTGTCTTCAAGAACTGAGAACTGCAGCTGCTTTCCTGCTTGTGCCAAGCTTTTCCAGAAAGGCACCAGAGGTGTTTCCAGTGCTCAGCCATGCTTCTAGTCCTCATCTCATTCCTGGGGATACATTTTTTCCTGGGTGAGTAAAATATCCTTATCGTTTGTAGATGCACATGATTCATTGTTTTTGTCACTTGAATTTTAGTGAGAATATTTTTCTCCATCACATTTACTGATTTATCATTGATTTTCCAGGAGATGTTCAAGCACAGTCAGTTACCCAGCCTGATGCCCATGTCACTGTTTTCGAAGGAGACTCGGTGGAGCTCAGATGCAACTATTCCTACAGTGGAACTCCTTACCTCTTCTGGTACAAGCAGAACCATGACCAAGGCCTCCAGCTTCTCCTCAGGTACTTTTCAGGAGACCCTGTGGTTCATGGAGTGAATGGTTTTGAGGCTGAGTTTCAGAAGAGTAAATCTTCCTTCCACTTGAAGAAGACCTCTGTGCACCTGAGCGATTCGGCTGTGTACTTCTGTGCTCTGCGTGCACAGTGTCTGAGGCTGCAGGGGGAGCTGAACACAAACCTGTGAGATGCTGGGGAGGACTGTAGCTGGTTGACTTTAGTCATCCATGCTCCTGTAAGTAACCTAAATAAACTTATCGGTTTTCCAAGTTGAACTTCTGTGGAATCATTACTTTGGTCTGTCATTGGTGCTCTATCTGTGGTATATAGACATCTGGTCACTGATCCTATAATATTTAAAAATTTTCAATAATGTATATGTAATATAAAATTGTCATTTTTCTTTGAAAAACTTTTATTAAGTTAAGTTTCTTATGAAAAATGTTTCAAATGTGAAACAAATGGCTACTTCAAATATTCCTTTACACAAACAGCATTCATTTATTAATTTAAGAAGTATCTGTTAGCTATCTTTTAAGTTTGTGACATCTGTCCAATGTAGGGTAATAAAATGGAAAACGTTTGTTTCTTTTCTCCAAAGTCATCTGGTAGTGATTAAACATGTGTTGGCATTCCTTGCTTGTGTGATTTTTCCAGTGGATGACCACATGGCCAAAACTGACTACATAAGACACTTAGAAATGGCATGAAATGGCATTCCCAGGTAAGACAATGTACAAGGTGCAAATAAGCCTATCACAACTATTCTTCAGATTACAGAAGCACCATCCAATAGCTACCAAGTGTGAGACAAAATAAAAGAGCCCAGAGTAGCACTCCATCACTGACTTTTGAGAATGTAGGTCAACAATCTTCTGAGCTTAGCAAATTGCCTAAAACAGGAGGTGGGGGGATGGTGCATCAAACTAGCACACACGCATTTCCTGTTTAATTCTCAGCTCACATTCATCCTTTCCCAATAACCTTAACATTTCCTAACTTAAGAAATTAAGATTCACACACTCCAGTGGCTCAGAAAATGAACTCTTTCCCTAGACTAGTGATTGTACTCTTCTTAATGTTTGGTAAGTGGATGACATGTGGAGCTTCTGTCTTGTTCTATGATATTGATGTAAATTCTAAGGACAATTTTTCCTATAAGGCAGAATACAGATCACCACCAAGCTTGCCCACAATAATTGTTGTTATTAATTTCTCTTTTTAGGAGAGAGCAATGGAGACTCGGTGACACAGACGGAAGGTAGAGTCACAATCTCTGAAGGGACTTCTCTGACTGTGAACTGTTCCTATGAAACCAAACAGTACCCAGCCCTGTTCTGGTATGTCCAGTATCCCGGAGAAGGTCCACAGCTCCTCTTCAGAGTCTCCAAGGCCAACGAGAAGGGAAGCAGCCGAGGTTTTGAAGCTACTTATGATGAAGGATCCACCTCCTTCCACTTGCAGAAAGCCTCGGTCCAAGAGTCTGACTCGGCTGTGTACTACTGTGCTCTGAGTCACATAGTGTCACACACTGCAGGGGGAGCTGAGCACAAACTCTGAGAAGCAGAGCCTGATGCTGAGTGTGTCTGAGATCACTCATTTAGGGACCAGGGGAAGGTCTGCTGTTGTTGACACTCACCATAAACGCAGACACTGCTGCAGTGTAAACCATGCAAATTAACACTAAGAACACATTAGGAGAACAGGAAGTGAGCATGCCTTAACTTAGGCTTGATCAGAAAGAGTGAAAGCAGTCACACACCATGATGATTTCCTTTTTGTTTTTGTTTTGTGAGATGGGATTCCCAGTAGCTCAGGCTGGCCTTGAGCTCCTTCCTTGTGAAGGTGAGGTTGGCTTTGAATTCCTTTTCTTCCTGCCTGAAGCCCCAGCGTACTGTAGTTATAGGCATGACCCATCATACTAGTCTGTCTGAATTTGTGATTTCTTAAATACAAATGTCTTGCTGAAATTTGTCTATGTGTTCATCATCCCATATAATTCTTATCCCCGAAATCCAACTCATGTCATTAATGGAATTATCATGGCTTAAAAGGGTGCACATGCTCCATATCTTCCTGGTAAAGTACAGTAAGAGATGGTTTATTTATCCTTCCTCTGTAGGTCTAATGGTTTACTTGTTATTCCTAAAGATTCTTACATTTGACTGAATTTAGAAGTAGAAATCTCAGAGGAAATACGTTCATGACATTTTTATTTGGCTTCCTTCATTCTTTTGCCCCAAAATATATCATATTCTGTAGCATCTTCCTTCTGTTTCTAGTGTTTTTTTTTTCAATGCAATAGGTCTGTGGTTGTGATCTGCATGGAGAAAAAAGATGCTGAATCTTGGGTGCTTTGGTCCTGGGGAAAAAGTGAGTTAAGATGAAGAGATGAGTGTTCTCAATTAAGTTAACAGGTCAAATGAAGAAGACTGAGTTAAGCACCAGGGAAATTGGGTGACATTGTTGGAGAAAGAAACTTGGATTGTGGTGGACTTGTAGCTTAATATAGGCTATGATTTAGATAGAGTGGACAACTATTCCAAAGAGATTCATAGTCCTCAAAGAAAACCAGGCTCAAATGGATGGGTATTTACCTGTTAATGGAAGGAAGGATTCCTTCTTTCTGTAGTGCATTACAAAAGACCAAAAGGGATCCCAGACTCAAAATATTACAATTATTTTTTACTTTTGTCAGTGCTAGGAATTAAATGCAGGCATCTTGAATGCAAGGCAGGTGCTCGACTGAGCTATAGTCTTAGCACTAACATGTTTATGCTTTAAAGTGCACCATTGACAAAGTGAACAGAGAATCCCGAAGTTGAAGAATATGTTTGCAAATTGTGTACCTGCTGAGGCAGTGCCAAACAGAATGTATAATCACATCACTATTTTTTATTTTTATTATTTTAAAAATGTATTCTCTCACACAATACTTGCCCACCACAGAATCCCCCCACCTCCCCTCTCCCTTAGATCAACTGCTCCTCAGTTTTCCTTCAGAAGACAGCAGGCCTCACAGTGATTATCAAATGAACACAGCACAAGATACAATAACACTCGGCATAAATCCTCACATCAAGGCTGAATGAGGCAACCAAGTGGAAGGAAAGGGGGTTCATGAGTAGGCAAATAGAGATACCCATTTCTCATTATTAGGATTCCAACAAAAACCCCAAGCTAAACAATCATAGCATGTATGCAGAAGACCTAGCACAGACCATGTAGGTTCCATGGATGCCTCTTCAGTCTCTGTGAGCCCCTATGGGTCCTGTGTAATTGATTCTGTGGGCTGTATTCTCATGGTGTCCTGGACCACACTGCTCCTCCAATCCTTCCTCCCCCTCTTCTGCAAGGTTCCCCGAGGTCCACCTAATATTTGGCTGTGAGTCTCAGTATCTACTCCCATCAGCAGCAGGAGGAAACCTCTCTAATGACAACTGGGATAAGCACTGTTACTATGAGTATAGCAGAATACCACTAAGAATCATTTCATTGCCTTTTTTTTTTTTTTAGTGTGCATGTGTGTGCATGCATGGGTGGGGGTGATGGTCCTCATTTTTGATTCTACCCTAGGTTTCTGAGCTATCCAAGGCCTGGATCCTGGCCATCTAGGCAGTGATGGTCATGGGCTCTTCCCTGTGGTGTCGGCCTCAAGTTAGACAAGTCATTGGTTGACCACTCCCACGAACTGAGCCACCATTGCCCTAGAGCATCTTGCAGGTTAGACTGGTTGAGGGCAGAAGGTCTTGTGGCTGGGTTGGTGTCCCAATTCCACCACTGAGTGACCAGCCTGGTTACAAGGAGACCAGTTCGGACTCCATATCCTCCATTACTAGGAGTCCTTGCTAGGGTCACCCTTCTAGGTTACAGGCAGTTTCCCTGTACTAGATTTCCATATTGCTCTCTAAATGCCCACCAATTCCCGTTGTCTCTCTCAGTAGCCCCCCTCTCTCTGTGTGTCCTTTCCTCCTTCACCTGATCCTTCCTGTTCCCACCCCTGCCTACCCCCAGTCCACCCACAAAATCTATTATATTTCCCCTTCCCAGGGAAATCCTATCATCCCTCTCGAGTACTCCTTGTTACTTGGCCTCTCTGGGTCTGTAGAGTGTAGAATGATTATCCTTTACTTAACTGCTAATATTCCCTTATAAACAAGTACTGTTGGGGGGCTACCCGCCACACCCACATTTTCCCAGAGTGCTCTTGAGTAGGAGCAGCAGGAAATATTCAATAGAAGAATTTAGTGGGGGGAGAAACAAATAGAAAATACAGAATAGCCTCGAGAGGGCCTGGAACTTATTCCATCGGTGTGTCTCTGCCCTAGGGTATTTATAGAAATGCCAAGGGGTGGAGCAAAAGACCTCCACCAGCACAACCCAGTGCAGACCATCTCAGACAACTGTACTTAGTCTGTGGTCCAATCATCTTCTCTATGCAGACCTGCTGGGTAAAGCCACTAGGAAACCTGAAAATGAGCTCCCACAGAGCACATACCATCTTTGTCTTTCTTGGTGTAGGGTGCTTCTCTCTCGGGATGTTTTCTGGTTTTTTTTTGTTGTTGTTGTTGTTTGTTTTCTTGTTCCATACATTTGCCTACAAATTTAATGATGTCATTTTTAATCTAAAAACTGAGTAACACCCCATTGTGCAAATATACCACATTTTCTTTTTCCATTCCTCAGTTGAAGGACATCAAGATTGTTTCCATTTTCTGGCTCTCATGAATAAAGCTGCTGTGAACATAGTTGAGCAAGTGTCCTTCTGATAGGATGGAGCATCTTTTGGGTATATGCCCAAGAGTGGTATAGCTGGATCTGGAGATAGATTGATTCCCAATTTTCTGAGAAACCACCATATTGATTTTCATAGTGGCTTCACAAGTTTGCACTCCACCAACAATGGAAGAGTGTTCCCCTTGCTCCATATCCAGCATGAGCTGCCATTTGTGGTTTTTATCTTATCCATTCTGACAGGGGTAGGATGGAATCTCAAAGTAGTTTTGATCTGCATTTCCCTGATGCCCAAGGATGTTGAACATTTCTTAGTGTTTCTCAGCCATTTCAGATTCCTCTAATGAGAATTCTCTGTTTAGATCTGTACCCATTTTTTAAATGGAATTTTTGATGTGTTGATGTATAGTTTCTTGAGTTCTTTATATATTTTGGATATTAGCCCTCTATCAAACGTGAAGTTAGTGAAAATATTTTCCCATTCTGTAGCTGCTGCTTTGTCCTACTGACAGTGTCCTTTGCCTTACACAAGCTTTTCTGTTTCATGAGGTTCCATTTATTAATTGTCAATTTTAGAGCCTGTGCTATCGATTTTCTGCTTAGGAAACTGTCTTCAGTGTTGACACATTCAAGGCTGTTTCATACTTTCTCTTCTATCTTGTTCAGTTTGTCTGGTTTTATGTTGAAGTCTTTGGTGCACTTGGACCTGAGTTTTGTGCAGGATGAAAAGTATGCATTTATTTGTATTCTTCTATGTGAAGTCATCCAGTTAGAACAGCACCATTTGTTGAAGATGCTTTATTGAGTATTTCTGGCTTCTTTATAAAAAAAATAGGTCATGTGTATTTATGTATGGGTCTTTTATTTGATTCCATTGAATAACATGTCTGTTTTTTATGCCAATACCTAGAAGGTATTTTTTTTATTCCTATAGCCCTGTAGTACAGCTTGAAATCAGGAATGGTGATAGCTCCTGAAGTTCTTCATTGTTCAGGATTGTTTTAGCTATCCTGAAGTTTTTATTTTTCCATATAAAATTAAGTATTTCCTTTAAAGTATTGTAAAGAATGGTATTGGAATTTTGATGGGGATTGAGTTGAATCTGTTGAGTGTTTTGATAGGATAGCCATTTTTACTATGTTAATTATATTGATCCATAAGCATGGGTGATCTGTCCATTTTCTGATATCTTCCTCAATTTCTTTCTTTAAAAACTTGAAGTTTTTTTCATATGTCTTTCACTTGCTTGAAAGTGGTTAGGGTTACCACAAGATATTTTATATTGTTTGTCACTATTGCATTATGTGTTGTTTTTCTGATTTCTATCTCACTAATTTTGTCCTTTGTATATAGGAGGGCATTTTTTTAGTTAAACTTGTATTCATCCACCTCACTGAAGGTCTTTATCCACTGCAGGAATCCCCTGGTAGAGTCTTTTTGGTCACTTATGTATATTATCATATTATCTGCAAATAATGATATTTTGATTTTTTCCTTTCCAATTTGTACCTTCCTGAACTCTATGATAGCATGATGAGAAACTCAAAGTGGACAAGTGATTGAATGCATGACCCTGTATAAACCCATTCATGGTGTCACATATTTCTAGTTCCAGCACTTGGGTTGGCGAGGCAGAATGATTATGAATTTGAAGCCAGCCTGGGTTACATGTGACTATTTTAAGCATGGCAAATAGCACAAGAAAAGATAGCAAGCAGTATCAGTCTTTAGGATAATGTACTTTCAATCAATAAGATAGATAATATAAAATGGATGTGAAATAGTGATTGTTGGCACAGACATAGAGACTTCATGCATTGTACATAGGAATGTAAAATGCTCTGGTAAATAGTAAATAGTAACTAC